CAGCCAAAAATAAAATAAAATTGTAATTCATTTAAATAAACCAAATTTAAAAACTGTTTATGCTTTTTTATTTTTTACATAAAGCTCTTTAAACACGTACAATGCCTAATTATTATTCTTTTTTAAAATCTGAACACTGTTGGAAAGTGACACTTTGACACTTAGTGCCGATTTGCATCTTAACATTACAACACAGTACAATACAATATAGTAGGTGTTTGCAGTTTCAGTTTTGGCCCTCCAAGGGAAAAAGGTTGGGAACACCTCTGGTATATACAGTAAATATATGTACAGCCAACTTAAAATGTATTTTTAACTATAGCATTGAAACCCCAATATAATTACATTGACTTGCAAATAAGCTGTTTTTTGTTGTTTATTGTCAATTACCAAAAATATTTTCAGTTTCATGTGTATCTCTATTATTCACACCAATGAAATAGTATGATGTTGGCAGCTTCTGGGGGCATGGTGTTAGCAGGTTTCTTTGCACATTTTACAGATTGTTAAAAACAACAATAAGTGGCACTGAATGCAGCTCAGGTGATGCCTTCTATTCTTGGAACAAGTTGATTTTTTGCAGGTTTTTGTAGCAGGCTGAAATATTCTTATTTAACAAGAAGACCTGTTATAGTGCTGATATTTTCAGGTCTTAGTTAAAGACACAAATGGTTTGGTGATTGCAGTGAAAAAACTTGATGGTACAGACAATTCGTGTTGAGGAAAGTGTGTACAACCAAGTCTTTGAGAAAAAATGCTGAAAATATCTAATAACATGAGTGTCTTCAGGGGAGTTTTTCTTTCTATCTTTAGTCACACGCAGCATGCCAAAGCTAAAAGGCAGTGTCTCTGGTGCATCCATGGAGCTTTTTCCAGCCAAAAATACCCAAATTCAAATACAAACATATTAATAAGATGTAGTCCAAGACTGATTGATGTTTGGGTTTTTTATTTTTATTTTTTTGAAGAGCTGACGATTGGTGTCTATTAACTTCAACACTAGAACTTGATAAATATGAGGTTGAGGTCTGAGCTCTGTAGGTGGAACTGAAAACTGCGGGAGGAAAAATGCTGCGTTCCGAGTAACATTTACTCAAGTGTACAAAGTAAACAGTGAAGAAGACGTTAGTCCCACTGTGTGAGGAGACTTCAGATTGCCTGAATGGAAGGAAGAAAGAAAAGAATAGATGCTAAACAATTTCATTTGAACAATTACCCATGAAAGTATAAAAGCTATTGCCAGTGGTATTCGGATTGTGCTGAAGCCATACAATTAGCCAATAAACGGATGTTAACAGCCAGCTTGATTACTTTAAATTGCAGCCAAATAGGCTTAAACACTTTTCTCCTTTTCTCTGCTCCATTATGTCCTAAAATAATGGACTTGAAAAGTGCTACCTTGCATCCAGACTCCAGATTGGTGCAAGATTTCAAACACTTCAGTTGTCCTGAAGAATGTTTCTGACCTCAGTCTGTAGTAAAACAAAACTTAGTAGTAACATCTTGACAGTTTTTTAAAACAAAACACTAACTAACTAGCTAGCTAATCTACATCAAGCTTTAGCTAGCTAGTTGGCTAGTTACCTCTGTTTTGCTACAGAGTTTTGCTGTGGAGCAAAACAACTAACTAGTTTGCTAATCTCCATTAATCGTTAGCTAGCTGTTTACATCTGCTAGCTAATTAGCTAGCTAATGAAGAATGTAGATTAACTAGCTAGTCAGCTAGTGTTTTGTTAATATTAGCAGAGAATGTCTAATAAGGAGAGAACTTGCACTCTCGGTACACTTCCGGCTTCTG